CTTGCAAGCAAGGACCCAAGTTCTATCCCTGGTACCAAAAAAAAAAAAAGAGAGAGAGAGAGAGAAGCACTCACCAATCACTAGTGCTTTGTCACCTATCAACAGTTCTCCCCAAGTTCGAAGTGCAAGTAACCATGCCACAGAAAATCACTATCCTGGAAGAAGAGTTTACTGTGTCAGTCTGTGGCCGGTGAGTTGACTTTTTTTCTCTCCCCCCAACCCCCAGTTTTTATTCTTAGTAGTCTTTCATGGGGAAATGTTCTTTATTAAGTTTATTGGTACATTTTAGGTGTACGAGATCATGACATTCATCACTGGGAATTTGTACCTTTATATGCTGTGTCTTGGAAATGTTTAAAGGAGACTCCGACTGGGAGTATTTTGGCAACACAAATACTTTACTTTGGAAAGATTCCCACCTCTAGACTAATTCTGTTGCTTTTCTGTTTCCTTATTTTCTGCCTTGTATGTATCAGTATTACTATGTCTATGAAAAGATAGAGAACTATTTCTGGAGAGGCTGTGCTGCTAGGACTGAGTGCTCTGAAAGTCACAAGTTACATACACGCACACCCTCACATACACAGTGCAAACCCGGCTAAAGGATAATGGTTTTCCCTCAACTAGAAATAATAAAACATATACCAAGGAGATAACAACTGACATATGGTTACAGAGCAGATTTAGTCACTGATATCTACCTGATCTTTTAACCACAGTGGAAAAATAGCTTAGATTTGTGATTTTTAGAGATAAAGGTATACCCAGAATTTCACCTAACTCATCCATCTACCTCAAGTATGTCTCTTGCATTTCTGCACTGCCATTTTTACCCCAGGGACTGAGCACAATCTCTTGGGTTGGGCCCTTCCATGCTTGATAACTCATGTTTCTAGCACCTTGGCTCCATCCCTGGTAGCCCCCTGCTAACCCTGGCAGAAAGAGCCAGCAAAGCAAAGAAACCTGTCCTTCCTAAAGACGACATACACAATGCACCTGCTACTTGCCAGGCTCCAAAGTGCTATTTCACCAAGTTCCCAGTCCCACATAACTGGTGAGCTGGTGCTCTTGGAGTAGGAGATAATACAGGACATTTCAAATAGGGAAGGAATCAAATGCCCTGAAAGCACAATCATTCATGACACATTTACAGCACAATTCTGTTTTTATAAAATGTAAACAAAATATAATTAGAGATTTGTATTGATATTGATATTGATTTATATTAATAGTGTGGACACAAGATCGTAAAAAGGAGTGTTTGTACCTCCTATTTGTCTTTATTTCATTTATTTGTATTTTTATTGGTATCGGTTTTTCTTTTTAAGGTATAGCTAGCTTCTGTAATAAAAAGGGCATTTATTAAAATGATATCAAAATTTAAAATCAAGGGAAGAAGGCATGTAAAAAGAAGAATATAATAAATTGTAGCATGTTGCACTGGAGATTTGCTTTTTTAAAAAAGTCACACTTCAGTTTGCTCGTCCTTAATATCAGGTAAGCCTTGCAGAAATCAGAGCAAAGCACAAAGAGTAAATATGCAATAGGCAAGGGGAAGTAGAGACTGGTTAAAAATGGGGTTGCTCTGTGTGTGTTTTGATTCAGTTGGCATGTCTCCTGACAGATACACATATGGAAAGCCTGTCCCAGGAAATGTGACTGTGAGCATCTGCAGAAATTATAACAGTCCTTCCCTCTGCTTTGGCCAAGAGTCACAGGCTTTCTGTAAGAGAATCAGTCAACAGGTAGGTTGAGAACCAGGCCTTCTAGATTCTGAAAATAAAGGCACTGTTGCCCGGCAGTGAGTTGGGCTGTGGTGCCACATCAGGAAGGGAATGATCTGGAAGAGAATTTCATGCGGGCAGCTGTAATTTTTTAAACAGTGACTTGCCACAAGAGGAATTATTTATTTCTTCTAATTGTCCAGCATTGGTGCTCCAGAATAACAGGCGTTGGGGTCATCCAAAGCCTCCCTGGGTATCTACTTCTACAAAGAAAACAGGAAAATCTATATTTTTGTAATCACCCTCACTGGAAAGGGTGTCAGTCATTCTTTCTGTGAGCAAGAACCTGTCCCACGGCCCCAGCTAGAGGCCAGGGAGGTGAGGAAGTCCTCAGATGGGCACCAGCTTCCCAGCCACAGCCGTCTATGGTGGGGAGGGGACCTGAGCTTTGGTGACAAGATCACTGCCCACTGCAGTAGGATCACCCGAAACAGGTGCAACATTTCCACATCAGTCTCTCCAGGGAATTTCAGATACTAAGGATTTATATGTGAGATATGCTTGTACCAAGCAATACAAATTAGTCTCTAGACTAATATGTCCTCATCATAGAACATGCCTAAATCGGGTTGTCCTCCAAAAAAAGCGTTACTTGACCAAAGATTAACTGAATGCGGATCTGTTCGATATAACACACATAGTGCTTTTGTACTTTACAATTCCCTTAGCTAAACAGCGAAGGATGCTTCTCTCAGCAAGTGAAAACCAGCGCCTTCCAGCTGAAGAGGAAAGACTATGAAATGCACCTCAGAGTGGAGGCCAAGATCCGAGAGGAAGGAACGGGTTTGTGTCCCACTGGGTGTGGGAGAAAGAACAGCAGATAGTAATTTATTTCCTTAGCCAAAATAGGAATTGGAAGGAGAGAGGGAGCGGAAGAAGTTCGGGAACATTATCCTTCTCAAACTCAGCTGAGCGTTTTGCTGCTTCTTCGTCCTTTGCAGATGTGCAGTTGACTGGGATAGGGTCCAGTGAGATCACAACCACCATCACCAAACTCTCCTTCGTGAAAGTGGACTCACACTTCAGACCGGGAGTCCCCTTCTTTGGGCAGGTGAGAATCCGGCTGTTGCAAACACCCACACTTACCTAATTCACAGCACAGGAACAGTTTCTGCTGAAAGTGTACCTAGTTAATGTCAGTCAATACAAAAGAGGCAGAAAATATAACCAGATATTGAGTCATAGAACTAAAAAGGTAAAAACCATATACAAATACATTGATTTGCTTTAAATTTGTATGTGAAATCTTTCCAAAGCTCTATCAAAATTAGGAAGATTTCATGCCGGACATGGTGGCACATGCCTGTAATCCCAGCACTGGGGAGGCTGGGCAGGAGGATCGCTATGAGTTTGAGACCAGCCTGGGCTACATAGTGAGTTCCAGGTCAGTCTCAACTACATTAGTGAGACCGTTTCAAAAAACCGAAAAGAAAAAAAAAATTGGGAAGATTTCTTTTTTTTTTTCCACTTTTGAACAACAGCATTTATGATGTTATCTCATCTTTTTTTTTTTCATTGAGTTTATTGGTACTTTTTAAGTATACAGTACAGTTACATTCATCATTGGGATCTTGTACCTTTACATGTTGTATCTTGGTTCTTGTTTTTTGATGTCATCTCATCTTTTCATGGTTCTAGCCAGTCAGTCTCCAATTTTTTTATGAAAAATAAAACAAATTTGTATAACTAAGAAACTAATAATAGTTCCTACACCGTCTATCATTATCTTCAGAGGAGTACAAGACAAAAAACAAAAGGAGCCTTACAAAACAGAAACAGATAACACCAACTTTTTTTTTTTCCGTGAACTAACATAAACTATTAGTATAAATGAAACAAATTAGCTTATATATTGAAATATTTTTAAAACAGCAGAGTGTGTAATTTAGGGAAGTATTTGAACTTCTCTCTGTATCCTATTTATCCCTCTTCTATTTTTTTATTTGTAAGTATATTATATATACATTCTTTTTTGTGATGTTTTCAAGAATCTCAAAATTCATGGTAGCCACTTACATTATTCTTCTAATATTAGCTTCACATGGCAGGGGTGTGGAGGTGGTTTTAATTTTTGAGTATTAAAGATTCTTTTATACCTATTTCATAAATACTACATTTACCTTAATTTTCTACAAGTATTTTTGAAAAGTGCAAATATAAGGATAAAATACTATTTAAGGATTCCAGATTTTCGATTTATGAATTTTATCACAGATGCACCAAAAGAATCTTCTGTTGTCATTTTTTTCTGCTCTAAGCAGAAGGGCAAAGGGACCTGTCTGACTCAGGGAGTCTGCAAGGACAGTTGTGTATCTCAGCGCCTAACTCCTGCGTATCAGGTCCTTGAAGGAGTTTCAGCTACGGAGGCTTTGAAGGAGCCAGGGGTGGAATCTACACTGGTACCTTCAGTCCTCTGGTAGTCAGAAGCAGGAGGACCATGAGTTCAAACCACTTAGTGATTTACCCGGACCCTGTCTCAGAAGCAGAACTGGGAGTGGTGGACGCCTGAGGGTTCCGTTCCCCGGACCACCAAAAAAATACAACAAAATGGAGCATATTCCAGAAAGTTTGATTATGTTGTGACAGAAGAACATGTTTGGTGACTTTAGTCATTTATCAAAATAAAAGTGTGGTACAATTTTTAATTTCTCAGAGATATACTCGTTTATCATGTATGGCTGCTAATATGACTATAGCATTTGTCATAAGATCCTCAGGAAAAAACAGTCAGAATTTTATGCCTATTTTTGTCTTTGTACTTGGAGCAAATATTTCACTGACAAATTTAGATTTTGTTAATCGGTTGTGAATTCTAATCCAGTTCCCAACACAAAGAATGATAGCTGTGCCACTTATCCTGACCTGATCATTACATATAGTCCACACATATTGAAAAATCACACTGTGTGTCAATGAAAAACTTAAAAGCATTGTCAAACAGTAGCCCATAATGAAAAAAAATCACCAGTTTTACAACATGAATTGGATTATTCATCTGCTGAATTTAATCATAACAATAGATCATCCCGTTATTACCCCCTCCATTCTCTATGCCTTTACAATGCTTTCTATTTTTCCCTAGGATTCCTGCTAAATAACCCTGTGTTATTTATATATTGTTTCACATCCATCTCTTTCATTGAACTGTCATCTCTGTGACCCAAGGGATCTTTTCTTGGTCCCTGCTGTGACTTTAATGTCCGGAAACACTCAAGTAACATTTGTAACGAAATGTGTATGATTGGTGCCTCTTCGTCATTATCCGAAGAGCTGACCCATGGCCTTTGGTCTTCAGGTGCGCCTAGTGGACGGGAAAGATGTCCCGATGCCACGTAAGGTCATCACCATCTCGGCAGCTGAAGCTAACTACCGCTCCAACGTCACCACAGACGAGGACGGCCTGGCGCAGTTCTCCATCAACACCACCGAGGTCGTTGGCATCTCCCTGAGCATCTGGGTGAGTTTGGAAAGAAGTTACCAATGAAAGTATCCCTGAAAACAGAGTCACCAGCTGATGAAGGGAAATTTCCAAGTTGTGTTTATCCCTATGGGCAGGGGAAAAATAGAAATTAGAAAGCAATTTGAGGTCAGCTTTTCAAAAGCTTATGAAATGGAGACACTATAGTGAGATAAGTGTAGGTTCCACTCTGTCGACTTTTGCGGAAGTGACACTAATGGAAACTACCGTATCACCATATGATATATCAGTGATCGTCCTATTATATATACTAAGATGACTCTAGGTAACCTCTGTGATAATGTATTGTTTAATAATTACTTTTAAAGCTTAAAGAAAGTGTTTTTAATATTTACACCAAAAAGAAATGATAAATGTAAGAGAAGATAATATGTCAAACCTAATTCAAATGTTACACAATGTAGATATGAATCAAAACATCACACGATACCCATAAATATGCATGATTTCATGTGTTTATGTATCAGTGGAAATTTTTAAGTTAAGCCAGTTTTCAGGAGCTGGGCAAAGGGAGAAACGACTGGTTGCTGTTGAATGAATACAAAGGTTTAATTTTTCAAGATGCAAAGTTCTGGAGATGCAGTGCCCCACAGATACACTTAACACTATTGAAATGTGCACTACAACATTATGAAACGGTAATTATGCCTTGGGATTTGAACCACATTTTTAAAAGCTGGGGTCCAGAATCAAAGCCAAATAAACTGGATAAAAACATAGACTCGTCTACATTAAGGGCAAGTAACTAGATAAACCTCTGTGCTGTATTTCTTTACCTGCAAAAGGGTAAAACATGAGTATCTCACCAATGCCTGGGACAGTTGTGACAATTACAGGAATACTTGTTAAACACTCATTGAGTCTCCTTTAACAATTACAAACTTTTACTATAAATCCCATTATTGCAGAATCAGTGTTCAGTTCAGAAATATGCCCTTCATAAATTTACTTTAGTTCATCCTGCTATTTTGGAACAGATGATCTATTTCTACTCATACAACTTGCTCTGTATAGAATGTAATCTGTTCATCAATATAGATGTAAATATGTTTATAGTTACACAGATACACAATAGATATTGCATAATCATAGAAATGGGAACCCTCCACTCTTAGTGTACATAGAAATATACAATATATTTTTAAACAAATAATATATCTTATTATTCGGCTTTAAGTAAATGGTATAAAAGCCTCTGATAAAGTTGAATGTTTACTCTTTTATTAATCAAGAAATGCTTTCAATCATTTCAAGAAATGATTTAAATGCTTTCCATGTGCCTGGCACTGTACTCGTCTTGACAATGAACATGTTACTCTTTGATGATCATGACTATTATCCCTAGAACATTACATTGAGATCTGGACAGATCTTTGCTGGCACGAAGATCCTTCCTGGCAACTTGGATGAGGGTGGGAGAAGCTAGAAAGAGCTAAAGAACAACTTCTACATGAAAGAAGGCTGGAAATAGAAGTCAAATAGAGTCTATAAGGTCTAAGAACCCAGAACTGCAAGAAATATCAAAAAATACTCAACCTAAGGTAGCCCCAGGAAGTTAGACTTCAGCTCATTCACCAGCTCAACCCTTGAACCAATGCCTTCTACAAAACTTTTCTCAAATCCCTAAACTTGCAATACCTCATTCATTAATAATATCAATTGAAACCCAAGATGAAGAGGTAGATACTTTCTAAAGCACAGTTCCTCCTGATTTCCAGAGATTCCTTACTCTCCTCCATGAGGTTTCCCAGCTCCACTGTTCCTGCCTGCCTATCTATGTAGGTAAAACAGCCAAAGTGATGTTTAGCAAGCTATACAGCAATGGACACCTGCTTTTATGCCCCTGAAATATGTAAATACCAAGCCCAGGATCCTCTCCTGCGGGGAGGTGCGAATCTTGCCTGCATCTGATACCAGACAATGAAAGGTCTTCCTTGCTTACTGTAGAGCCAGAATTTCTAGCTACTACTTAGGCAGGACACTAAACTTACACAAGACGATTGACTCTCGGCCTGTGATCCAAAAGTCGTATTTTTCTGTGATCCTTCAGGTCAAATACAAGGATAGCAGCCCCTGTTACGACTACCACTGGCTGTCGGAAGGAAATGAAGACGCACGTCACACTGCCAATGCTGTGTTCTCCGCAAGCCACAGCTTCGTCCACCTGGAGCCCAAGCCTGGGAAGCTGCCATGTGGCCAAACTCAGACGATCCAGGCCCACTATGTTCTAAATGGACAGGAGCTGAAGGAGCTCGTCTTCTATTATCTGGTGAGCAGCGAGCTCGTGCTCTGACGCCTTTGTACATAAAAGTTCTCAGTGGGTAAGAAATACAGCTCTTTGGGGATCAGAATTCTGACTTCTCATCCACTTGCGGGGTGGGGGGAATGCTTGACTTCTCCTGCGTCTGACCATTGCCAAGTCTGGAATAAGATCTCTGTTAAGCAGATTAAATTTCCTTTTATTTCTTTTCTTTTTTTTTTTTTTTTTTTTTTTTTTTTTTTTTT